TGATTCCTTAGATATTTTACATGTCTTAAAAATTTGAGTGTCTTTTAAATTCAAATACAAGTTTATTACAATTGTCATTGAAATTGTTTCACCGCATGCATATATAAGAAAAATAGGAAAGAAATTTCAATTTAGCATTAAAATGATACTTGGGTCAACAAAATGCATTTCATTTCTATTATCGAATTTCTTTCTTTTTCATCTATCATTTAAATGAAACATTGGTATAAATGTATAATAAATAGTAAAACGGCGTTCCATACATATTGATTTATAAATAGTAAAAAATAATATATCTAAAGATAAATAAAAATTATGTAAACATTTAATTACGTTAATTTTTAAATTATTTCAAAGAACTGATAAAATAAACAATCATTAGGTATTTAATATAAAATCTACGTAGGTTGTCCTTTCGTATTTCTCTTAAACTTGAATGTTATATTGTAAATAAGTTAAATGTAAATTAAAAATAGTATTCTGTGAAATTTTAAAAATAACTTTTTACAATGGAAAATTGACGCGCTTGTTAAAATGGAATAACAAATTTTATCATACATGTATTTTTGAAAATGTTAAATTTATTGTGCGTTAGCAAACTTAAATATCATCTTTATTAGTGCATTGAGAAGTATAATGGGATTGAAACAACTGGAGTCGCACAAAATTTGGAAGGGGACAAATTTTATGATCTAAATGATTTTTTTTTAATATTACATTTTTATTTATACAGGGTGTTTGGTTTTTCATGTGACGACACCTTATTTTCAATGGAATACTTAGGAAAATGTTTAAACCTTTTTAATATTTATTTTTTAGTACTTTCTTTTTAAATGAAATCATTTGCTAAAGCTTAAAAATAAACAATTAAACATAATTATTTTTTATCTTATATAGTATCTATCTTTTTATTAATAACAATACAAGTAAAGTTTTTTTTTCAAAATATTATACAGGGTGTTTTTATACATCGTGAAAATTTAATATTGGAAGTTGAAAATGTTTCTTTTTTTTAATGGAACACCTTATATATTTTTTAATATTTTAATAGAAAAGATTATTTACTTTCTTTTGATCTACATATATGTACAAGATAAGAAGATAGAAAATAATTATGTTTATTAATTGTGTATTTTTAAGTTTAAGCTAATGTATATGGGTGATTCTACAAAAGTTGGACAACTCGATGTCATCAGTCAATAGAGTAGGTATTTTAATACTTTTTGTAAATATTTTAGTATATTACAAAAGATCCAGGTTTTTTTAACTTGTCCACCCAATTTTAATGTATTTTTTCAAAAGCAAGTTTGTAGAAAAACATAATATATATAATAAACATCAGTACCTGGGTCACAACTCCTGAATCAAATATTTGAGTGATTTTATTTTAAAATATATTCAATTTATCTTAAATTTTTCAATTTCACTACAAACTATAAAACATTAAATAATGTATTCTTCATATTTTATCATAGATTCGAATAATAGCAATTTTTAAAAAATTGATAATCTTTGTACTCACATTTACCCGTCAGTTTTGTGTCCAATGTTAAAATTCAAAATTTCTGCGATATATTGAAGTAACGTCAAGTCCTCGTTTTAACTCAAGTGTTGGTAAAAAATTACCTACAGAGCCCGCCCTTTGCACGACAGTCATCTTGAAAACAATGCAAGCGGCGAAGTTGTGGTGAATGCACGTATAGTTCCAGTCAAAAGCTCAGTACTGTGGTGAGTATACTCACTATAGTTATTTTCTTACGTATATATATTTCATTGTAATTTATATAATGCTATATGTGATTTGTTGATAAGTAGCATTTACTTATAAAATATGTAATTTATATTACCTACACATACATTTGGTGGTTAATTCTATCGAATTCCACTAATTTAGCAGATATTACATAATTTCAAACCAAATATTAACCAACACACGAAACAATCTTTCAAAATGTCGGACACTTTCGTGAGTAGGCCAGTCGTACCAATATTTACTAATCTTAGAATAAATATATATTTATATCCAGTATAGTTTTACATCTTTAAGAACAGAATAGAGGGAATTTTCCAAAATTTGGTCTAATCGATTGTTAATCTTCAATTAAGAATAAGAATATTTCATTTAAAGTCTTTCATAACACTTAACAGGCAAGAATAAGATCTGCTTGTTTAAAGAAAGATTAATATTTAGTTTAATGTTCTTCAAAATGATAAAAAAATAATAAAAAAAAATTAATTAAATAAAAACATCGCATAGGTACCTAATTAAATTAAATGTGTGTGATTTAAACATCTTATTTCACCCATAAACATTTCAGTATCTCGGTAAAATATATGAAAAATATTTATAAACACATTCACTTTTATTTTTATTACATCTCGACTTTCCAATAAAAATAATAAAACATGTCTTAATGAATGAAGAATTTAGTGCTCGTAAATTTCGATAGTTCTATTTTAAATCTGCGTTCAAAGTGGTTCAACGTACGACTCACGTAAACCACACTAAAAACCAACGTTTCGTCTCTGAAATATTTTGTCAAATTAATAAATTCGACGATATCGTAAATGTGGCAACAAGCGTTACCCAGTGTTTACGTACATCATATTTATTTATTGCGGCTGTAAATTGTGGTTTAAAACACGTTAAATGTAGACATTATTTTATTATCTTAATACAAAATAGTAGAATTAATACGTTTTATTATTCAAATGCAACGGCATGTCAAGTAGTACATCATTTGAAGCCATGGCTGCAGTTTTAATAAGTTTTAATATGCAGTTTTAAATTATTTTATTTTGTTATGTTAAAGAAATAAAAAACAATTTGTATTTGAAAGAAAGCCAATTGTGTTGTATTTTAGCCACATTGTATTGTTTTGATATTTTGTGCAAAAAATTCGGTTTTTAATGTACTCAGGACAAAAAACTTTATACGAGGTGTGTTCAGAAAATATCGGGAATTTTCGTTTTTTGAAACAAATGTTTATTTATTCGTCTACATTAATGTTGTCGCCTTCAAAATAGTCCCCATTGGATATTATGCACATGTGCCAGCTCTTCTTCCAATACTCGAAACACTTCTAAAACTCGATCTTTGGGATAGCCTTTAGTTCTTTCAGCGATGCGCTTTTAATGTCATCTATGCTTGCAAAACGACGGCCCTTTAAGGTTCTCTTTATTTTTGGGAATAGGAAAAAGTCAGACAGAGGCATGTCTGGCAAATATGGAGGCTGGGGCATCATTATAGTATTGTTTTTGGCCAAAAAATTTGTTCAAAATTTAACAATTTTAGAACAAATTTTGCTGCCACGCGTTTCATACCCAAAACATTTGAAAAAATTTCATGGGATGAGCCAATCGATATACCAACATCATCAGCGACTTCTCTGATGGTTTATAACCATTTCTTTCACTTTTTCCATGTTTTTATCGGTTGTTAATGTGCTTGTGCGTTCGGGGCGTTCGTCATCTTCAACGTCTTCACGGCCATCTTGGAAACTCTTATACCACTTGTAAACTCTTGTGTTACTTATAGCAGACTCATAGGCCTTTGTTAACATTTCACAGAATTTATTTAATTTTTTAAGCAAAATTGGATATAAATTCTTTGATCCATTTCTTTTAACGAACGAAAAATCGCCGAGCTCATAAAACACGTCTAACCTTAGCAGCTGCCACAGACAAAGTAAACAATGAAAACAGCCAAAGTTTTTATCAAACTTCGGGGGCATGTATACCTACATAATAAAGAAAATTTTATGTCAACCGGACCCTCCGAACCCGCGAAATTTAACAATTCCCGTTTTTTTCTGAACACACCTCGTATATTCTAGTTGAAGAAGTATAGTTCTCTTAAAAACAAATACAAAATCTCTTGAATGTTTCTTCTTTCAACCAAGTGCAAAGTGTTTTTGTTCAAAAGCTATGAAAATTATTTATATTTCCGCAATTCATTCAAGATACATCACAATTATCCCAATAGCATGTCAATTTTCTAACAAAATCTTGTAGCTTCTGATACATGGGAGGGGATGCAAAACGTACACCGTTTGCGGCACACGTGTTTAGTACGTTTTGTATCATTGCAACTTGCTATTCGCCATTTTCTAGGGGCATTGATATAATATTATAATTCTATTATAGGTAATTCTAATATACATTTTGCCGGTTGTGTTGTGGCGTGTTGTATGTACTTTCACAGTGGAGTTGGAATCATTGTTAAATGTTTTTGAAGGTCCTTGATTTTAATTTTTAAATGCATGTTTCAATAATTAAAATCAAAAGGTCTATGTGGTGAGGGGAATTTAAGCTTAAATACTAACAACGCTGGTAGTTTCAGTGAAGTTCAGAAGCTTTTGAATAAAGCAATACATAATATTGGACCAAGAGATATTTGCTCTAAAATCAAAATAAAATGTGGTTAGGTCAATACTATAGTATATGCTTTTGTAGCAAGACAAATTTTCTTTCTTAGAAAGTTCCCAAGCTTTTCAATTAAGAGATGCAGTTTTCTTGTTAAAATCCCATTTTTTTGCGGTAAAGAACGTTTTCTTCATTTAAAAGAAGACATATTTTTTGTTCTTGTACCAAGAAATCGCTTGCTCTTTTGAATCAAAGTGATTTTCATTTCTTTAAGAGATTATTTTTTTCAGTGTAGTCATCAACAATAAACATGCCGACACACCACTATTTTAATAAGTCTTTACTGAAATAAAGCTAAAGGTTACGCACAGTGGGACAAATAATTTGTATCTACTACTGATAATTTTCGCTTAATTCATTATAAACTTACTTATTCCAAAATGATCATCTGTCGGACGTTTTTAACCTTACTTTCTTTTACTTCTTATTTATTTATTGTGCCTTCAGCTTGTGGGAGAAACTTTTCACTCGAGCGGAATTCGCTGTAGTCAAAACTTGATAATAAAAGGATAATGAAAGAGTACATCTGTTGCATGGGCCTCCAGCTACGGTAGGTATGTCTGAAATCCCTTTAGCCGGGTTTTGAGACCCAATTTCCGTGCATTATCCCCTTGCAGGGTCGTCGAAGTTTCTCCGCTAAATACCTTGGCGTGCCTGGGAGGAACGGAACTCGCAAGCCACTCCAAGCTATTAACAAACAGTGTCTTTGGCGGAAAGAATGGAAAAACAGGAGTAGCGAGTGAACAAGTGGTTGCACTTTCAAGAGCACTTTAGTCGAGAATGGTTGAGACTGAAATGATGCGTTTGGGGGAGGTTACATTTTTGACGTGCTTAATCCTTAAATTAATATAGTTTATATAAAAAAAATATTGAGAAATTATTAAACTAAAACCTTTATTTATTTATTTATGGTAATAACATTAGTTTTCTTGTTCAAATAAATATTCGGGTTTTTGCAACACGCACGCTATCTGGTGGCGCTCGATAGCATTATTGAACTACAAGGTTTGTCGACAATACACTGTTCAAAATTTCATGACCATTTTAACACCAAATTAATACATGGTCTATATCGATACAAACCAAAGTGGTGTTAAATATGGTTCGTTGGTCCAGTGTAAATTTAAATACTAAAATAGTGTAAATTTAACTTTCACACAGAAAATTGAACCTTTAACTCGTTAGAGATACTGTTTTTAATGCGTTCCACCAACTTAAAATACAAGTATTGACAGCTGTTTCCACCTATTTAATGTCTCTTTAGTATCGAACAACTTGTAGTCACACCAAAGCAAAGGACTACCTGAGCTATATACTCTTCATGTAAGTCAACAGAGGCGAGATTTAAGAACATAACGAGATCCACACCGCCTTTGCCGCGATCGGTGCACACTATGCAACCAGGAATGCACGGCAAATTGTTTTAATCGTTTAACAGAGTGCTTTAGGTTGAAGTAACTCTTATTTTACAAACAACATATTTAGTAAACTGAACCATACAGCGGGTTGGTTTCACTAAAGTTTTCTGGGTTAATTTAACCAATTTAAAAAAAATAAAATAACTATCTGGTTTAGTACCGTCAAACTAATCTTTGTTTATACTAACCTTCCCACAGTTGATTTAAATAAATATTTAAGGGTCAACTAAATTAATATAGTTAAATGAGCTATTCCTTTTTTTCTGTATAGGTGCACTTCTCAAATATTTTTAGATAAACACCGTTTTGGTATTTTACAGATATTTTAAACAGTGTGGCATCTTATGTACCTAATGTTTTTTTTATTTTAATTGCTAAACCAGTGTTAATAAAAGATGTAGTTTGTATAGTGTTTTTTTTAATACCAAAAATGTTACATGTCGTTCACATTTTTATTTTTATTGATAAAAGTGTCAAATATTAAATTCTGTTTAGCATGTCATTTCGTAGGTGAGTGTGTGTGTGTGTGTGAGTATACGCCCAACAAAACGGTTTATTATTTGCAAAGCTCATAGCGGCGTTGATACTGATAAGCTTTATTTAACGGGACAAAGCTTCGCAACAGCGTATTGCGAGCTTTTCAGAGTAACGCTTTCAGCCAGCCGTATCACTTTCCAACACCAGTCAACGAATATAATTAAAAACCGCGGATGCAAGAACAAACTGTGTATATAATAGTCGGGTTTGAGAGATTACGCCCTTTAAATGAAGTCCATTTAACATTCGCATTAACTCCTTATGGGTGATTCCACAAAAGTTGGGCAACTTTTGACCTCATTTTGTTTATATAGTTTTCGGAGAAAATTAAACAGTATTTTGTTATGAGAACATAGATAATATAATAAATATACTGTTCCAGACCGGAAAATATAAGATTTATTACAACTTTGAGCATATTATACATTAAATATCTTAAAATCAAATAATACCACACATCAGTGGCGGCTGGTGGATTTCGGGTATACCGATATCTCAAATTTATATGAGTTTATAATGACATTAAATAAACAAGTTATGCGCAAGCAGAATTTAAATTGAAGTTTGCGAAAAAAAGATAACCGAAACATCGAACATGGAACTGACGACACGGTACTGATGAATGGGATACAAATTTGAGATTATAATTCGGAATTAAGTATTTTACTGATATTTTTTATTAGTGGATGCTACTTATCAACAAATCACATATAGCCTTATATAAATTACAATGAAATATATATACGTAAGAAAATAACTACTTACCACAGTACTGAAATTTTGACTGGAACTATACGTGCATTCACCACAACTTCGCCGCTTGCATTGTTTTCAAGATGACTGTCGTGCAAAGGGCGGGCTCTTTAGGTAATTTTTACCAACACTTGAGTTAAAACGAGGACTTGACGTTTAAACTTCAATATTTGGCAAGAATTTTGAATTTTAACTGTACACAGAACTGACGGGTAAAAGTGAGTACAAAGATTATTAATTTTTAAAAAATTGCTATTATTCGAATCTATGATAAAATATGAAAAATACATTATTTAATGTTTTATAGATTGTAGTGAAATTAAAAATAATCCCATTACTTTGACAAATCGTAGGTTTTTGTCCCAAAATAACACACTGAAAAATTAATAAAAAAGGTACCTTAGGTGGTACATTTTTTTATAGTGCATGTACATTTTTCTGAGTGTCAATTTCAGTTCTCAACATCTATTTTATAAACGCAAATTAAAAAAATATGATATGATCGCTGTCCTATTTTTAAATTTATTTATTTTAATAGGCATCGCCTGTATACATAATACACTCATTTGTTTTGGAGTTCTACTGTTTCAAAACACATACAATTTTAAAACAAACAAAATCTGGTGATGTGCCATTTACATTATATATTATAAATGTTGGTTTCATAAAATTATTTAATCAAACCAATGATAAATTATACATTTTTTAGGCCTTTAAAAATTTTCTCTGCATGGATAAAATATTATATTAATATTCGAGTGAATAATGCGCATAATCTGGAGTGTAATACTATACTTTATCAATTCCTATATAAGTAGATAATTAAATGATTGTCAAAAATAATTAAATAAAATATGACATCTGTCATATGGTTAACCTTACTTTTTATCAATTTTAAATGTTATTATAGTGGCCTTGTCATATATGACAAGGCGTTATAACTTATAAGTTATATCTTAAAAGTTATAACTTAAAACCCGATAGGTTTTGGTTAATTTACTTATAATGGCAGATATTTAATCAGTTGTGCTATAAAAACCTAATATTATGCAATAGTAATAAAAATATAAATTTTATGTAATTTTATAGTAAAATAAATATAGAAATTCTTTATTATATTTATAATGCTTCGTGTTCATTGGATATGTTTTAAACTTTAAAGAAAAATTTGTACATGTATTGTCATATATATATATATATATATACTTCATTTTATTATCTAACAAATAAATAATAATAATAAATAATTAACAAGTAAATTTATCAATAATAAATGGGTGATTCTACAAAAGTTGGACAACTTGATGTCATCAGTCAATAGAGTAGGTATTTTAATATTTTTTGAAAATATTTTAGTATATTACAAAAGATCCAGGTTTTTTTAACTTCTCCACCCAATTTTAATGTATTTTTTCAAAAGCACGTTTGTAGAAAAACATAATAAATATTCAAAACATCAGTACCTTGGCGTGTCACAAACTCCTGAATCAAATATTTGAGTGATTTTATTTTAAAATATATTCATTTATCTTAAATTTTTCAATTTCACTACAAACTATAAAACATTAAATAATGTATTTTTCATATTTTATCATAGATCTGAATAATAGCAATTTTTAAAAAATTGATAATCTTTGTACTCACTTTTACCCGACAGTTCTGTGTCCAATGTTAAAATTCCTGCGAAATATTGCAGTTTAAACGTCAAGTCCTCGTTTTAACTCAAGTGTTGGTAAAAAATTACCTACAGAGCCCGCCCTTTGAACGACAGTCATCTTGAAAACAATGCAAGCGGCGAAGTTGTGGTGAATGCACGTATAGTTCCAGTTAAAATTTTAGTACTGTGGTGAGTACTTATTTTCTTACGTATATATATTTCATTGTAATTTATATAAGGCTATATGTGATTTGTTGATAAGTAGCATCCACTAATAAAAAATATCAGTAAAATACTTAATTTTAATCTCAAATTTGTATCCCATTTATCAGTACCGTGTCGTCAGTTCCATGTTCGATGTTTCGGTTATCTTTTTTTCGCAAACTTCAATTTAAATTCTGCTTGCGCAGAACTTGTTTATTTAATGTCATTATAAACTCATATAAATTTGGTGTGGGACCCACATCTAATAATTGAGATATCGGTATACCCAAAATCCACCAGCCGCCACTGATGTGTGGTATTATTTGATTTTAAGATATTTAATGTATAATATGCTCAAAGTTGCAATAAATCTTATATTTTCCAATAAATTATTTATTTAATTAGTACCCTGGTATACTCGTCACTTCCCTTGCATTCAAATTTAGAAAACACGGATATTTCGGAATCTGTTTGAAAAAGTGACTGGCCCGGTCTGGAACAGTATATTTATTATATTATCTATGTTCTCATAACAAAATACTGTTTAATTTTCTCCGAAAACTATAAAAACAAAAAATACTATATATGCTTCTCTGTATTTGACTAAATTTCAGTCTTTTATACGGCTAAACGTTTTCTCAATTCTTATTCATGAAGTGTCTGCGTAATTCACCTCCATCTAGTAAGTCATGTATTTACGTGCTACGATTATTTAATATTTCACTTAAGGTCTCTGACATGTTTTGATTTCTTCAATGAATTATTGTTTTTAAACACTTAAAGGAGCGTATAGCAATTGCCTTTGGCGTCATTGCGTTATTTATGAGCGAAAATCAAAGAATGCGGATTAAAAAATCTTTTTTCCTGTAGGAATGTAAGGAACAAAGCCGTCGCTTGCTTTGTGAGAACGTACAAAAAGAAAACCCAAAAAGTGACATATTGCATGAAAGGCTTGAACTGTTTTTATCTTTTCGTATTTGCCTAATGCACTGCTTTTTTCCGTTAAAAGTTTAATTACAAAATCGATAATTTCCCTTTGTAGCGTCTTTTTTATTTTCAGTTTGGCTTGGAAAATAGGAAATGAGTTTAAATAACTCTTGGGATCTTGTATCAAAAAGAGATTTATCTATATCTGCAAAATATGATCTATATTTTCAATTCCTCTTTGTTCGAA